CTGACTGAGTTTTGAAAATATGTTTGTTTGTGTTTCGATATTAGGCCTGTTTCCCTGTGACACATTCGTTCCCGCAGCTGTCGTACCTCAGGGGTGGCCCGTGGGAGCTCCAGACGCCCCACAAGCGGGAGTCTTCATTTCTCCAGAGGCCATGCAACCTCTGCAGCCTACGGCAGGTAAATTATTAGAACCCTTCTTTATTAATGAATGGTTAGAGTATCAACTATCAATATAAATCAGCAGACTTATTTTTTAGCAGCATACAGCGGTATAGATAAAAATTTCAGAACTATCGCAGATGTTTTTAAACTTATATTATTGATTTCACAACTAGAGGAATTAATTTGTAGTGGAAATATAAGATCTAGGGTTAATGGGCAACGAAAATCTTTTTTTAATTCAGTGCGGATTTAGAATTTTAGAGTTTTTTTTCTTGGTGTCCCACAAGTTCCCTTTCTGACACTAATCGTGTACCTGTGTTTTTTTCTCTTCTTTGCCTTTTCTCCTCCACTGTTTTTTCTCCCAATGTCCTATTCTTCCAAGTATTGAGACTGGTAGAGTAGGCACAAATGCATTAACAAGACAGTTTCTGAGTTATGTTTAGGGCGTTATGGTCACAAAAGCTAGATAGTCCTGTGCTCTAAGAAAGTAAGTTTTGAATGCAGGGCTATGAGCAGACAGTGATGGGTCCTAAATTTCCAACTTCCTTCCCTTAGAGCCAGCCCAGCTGGTAGAAATGCCATCAGCAGAAGACAGGGCACCAGCAAAAACATTGGAAGAAATGATGGGATTGAAGCCTGCTGACATGGCACCATCTAGAGATACGGAGATGGCCTTAGCCAAGGACATGGCACCAGCCACAGAAACAGAAGTGGTATTGGCTAAAGACGTGGAACCGCCTACCGAAGAAGATGTGGCACTTGCAAAGGACATAGAATCATTCATCGAATCCGACATGGCCCTAGTCAAGGATGTGGCACTACCCGCAGAAACAGAGGAAGCCCCAGCCAAGGACAGAACACTATCCAAAGAAACGGAGAGGGGACCACCTATAAAAATGGATGTGGCCCCAGCTGAGGACGTGGTACCACCCACAGGCAGAGAGATGGCCACAGCCGAGGGTATGGTATCACTCTCAGAAAAAGAGATGGCACTGGCTAAGGACTTTGTATCATCCACAGAAATGTCTTCAGCCAAGGAGTTGGCTTTGTCCTCAGAAACCGAGGTGGCCTTAGTCAAGGACATGACTCCGTCTCCAGTAACAGAAGTGGCCCTGGTCAAGGACGTGGCTCCACTCCCAGAAATAGAGATGTCCCTGGGCAAGGATGTGGCTCCATCCCAAGAAAAAGAGGTGGCCCTGGTCAAGGACATGGCTCCATCTCCAGTACCAGAGGTGGCCCTGGGCAAGGACATGGCCCCATCTCCAGTATCAGAGGTGGCGCTGGGCAAGGACATGGCTTCAGCCCCAGAAACAGAGATGGCCCTGGGCAAGGATGTGCCTCTGCGTCCAGAACCAGAGATAGCCCTGACTAAGGGTGTTGTCTTGCCCTCGGAAATGGAGGTGGCATCAGTTCCAGTTAAGGACATGGAAGCTGTACGGACACAGGAAGAAATACATGGGGATTCCCAGTTAAGGTCTCTCCAGAACGAGGGGCATTCCGCTGCACCCGCTTCCACGATTTCACCAGGTATGGACTTAACTCACTCTCGGTATTTCTGTCTGCCAGGGTGCAGTCCCCGGAAGGGTCAGGGACAAGTGTCATGCCAAGTAAAATAAAGACAGTACTTTGCAAATCCATGCCCGCTCCTACTCTCCTAGGTGATTATTTTTCACCTTCGCCTTCCTCCAGCCTCCAGCACCTTCTGCGTCCGTCCGTATTCGCTGCTGATCTTTCTGTTTTCCTCATAGATAATTGAAGCAGTAAGCGACTGTCCATGGCCATCTGTCAGTCATTTACCTGACTCCTTGTGTCTGCGTGCGCGGACTCGGCCTGCCTCCCTGCCCGTCAGGCCGCCCTCCCTGTCGTGCACGAGCTCCCATCTCTTTTTGCCGGCTTAAGCACATCGCCCCAGCCCTTCTCTCCTTTCTTGACTCTCGCCAGTTTTTTTTCCCCTTTCCATTGGATCATTCCCACCAGCATACAAACATTTCTTTTTTTCCCCATCTTAACTAGAAAACAAAAGCCGGCCCCCCTCCCCCCCGCCCAACTCCACCTTCCAAAACTTCCACTCCATTTTCTGCTGCCCTGACAGGAGCAGCCCTCATTCCTGCAAAACTGTTTCCGTTGCCAGTTTCTGGAACGTGGAGAAATCACTGAAACTGTGCTTTTTCTCAAACACACATCGTGTTTACTATTACTTTTAGAACCGGTCTCAGCCACAGGCCAGAAGTGTCACGTGCCAACAGATGAGGAGCCTGTGCTGGAGAAACCAGAGCAAAAGAAGCCATTGGATAGTCAGTCTTCGGAGTTTTCTTCAGAGACCTCGGGTAAGTTGGGAAAGTGCAGCGGACTCTGAATTCGCTGAAACTGGACGGTGGCAGTGTAGACAGTGTTCCCGGCTGGATGCTGGTAATCGGCAGTCCCATTTATGAGGTCAGTTCTCTTTCTAGACAGATTTTTGTCTTGCCAAGGCAGAAAGTCAGCTGGTTACATACATTTAAATTATCACTGCATCACCTCAGGACACTTAAATTTTAATCCTGGTTACCTGTTCGCTGTTCGGTCCCGCGTGGTCTCAGGTTATTTAAGTTCCCTGTATCTCAGTTTACTCAGCTTTAAGAGGAATATATTGGTCCCCTGTTCCGTAAACCCTGCTGGTTGCAGTGTGTTTCACAGCCCAGCAGCATCTGCATTGCCTGGTAGCTTGTTGGAAATACTCCACCTTGACTCCACCGCAGACCGTCTGAATCATAATATGCATTTTCACATATTTTCCAGATAATTCTTATATACATTCAACTTTGAGAGGCACTGCTATATGATACTTTCTAACTTAAAGTTCGATTATTCATTGAACGTTAATTTAAGATGGCGCGGTTTTTGTTGTAAGGCTGAAACGTGCGTGTGATCATCGACTTGAGTCTCCACGTACTGTTCTGTGACTGTGATTGGAATATGAACTGGAGGGGAGGGACCATGACGTATTTCACTTACAATCTCTGGTGCTTTGCATACCATCTAGCACCAAGAAAGAGCAGAGTAAACGTTTGGGTTTTTTAAAATGTTGTTTTAGTGACTCAACATATCAATAAAGATTTATCCAGTTCTTACTGTATACAGAGTACAGCATGCTAAGGCACGTGGATGTTTAAGTCCGGGTCCTTGTTATCTATTATAGCCTGGATGGCAAGAGAGGTTCCGGGACATGAACTCTGAAACCAGAGATTTACATAATAATTGAATAAAATAGTATAAGAGATGGCACCAAATAACTGCTGATTAATTGCCAAATTAAATGTTACAAATGCTGAAGCCTAGCAATTTTTTGAGAGAAGGAATAATTGACCTGAGGCGTTAAATAAATGAATGGTAGGATTCGGAGGACTTAGGAGCGGTAAAGACAAAAACAAAGGTACTGTGTAAGTATTTTAATATTCTTCGAAGTCATTTCATCGAGTCGGACTTGACAAGCACTGTCCTAGACCTGCTCTTAGTGGACTCTTCCTCGGAGGTCGGACCCACGCTGCATTGACGTGGAGGCAGGAGGTTGGACCAGTTGACCTCTTGAAACTTTTCCAAGGGTGCTTCTCTCGATCGTTTTAATTCGTTACTCTACTCGACAATGTGTCTATGTTTCTGTCTTTGGGGAAGTACATTTGGAACAGAACATTTGTCTTTCAGTGTAGGAGGCTCTGGTTCCGGAATGATGAGAATTTTTCTCTGGCCAAAATACTAATTCAGTATCTTTTTTCTTTTCTTCCTCCTCTTCTCCTTTTTTTCCCCAGTAGCATAAGTCTGGCCTTCTGGTCTGTTTCCCAGAATTGACCTGGTTAGTTTGACAAGTAATTAGTATAATATTGGTGATAGATTCTTAGAATCATAAATTCTAAGATCATACATATTTCATTTAATTAATTTATAAATATCACCAAAAAGAGTCAAGAGCTTACCATCTTTGCAGAATTGGGAATTGTGTACCTAGTAAACTAATGACAAATATAAATATCAGATGAGATTAATAGGCAGTAAGCGCTCATTATAGGAGTTAGAAAATCTCAGAATTTCTTTTCTCTAGTTTTAAATATATTGTAAATATGTTTGAAAAAAACATGGCTTTACCCGAGATGATGATCTTTGTTAAATATTTGATAATCCCAGTTAAGGGTGAGAAATGTTTTGGAAAAAGCTGTTTTCCTAAATGCATTAGAATGTGGGTTGGCGAAAATAGACTACTTAAATGAGTCACTAAAGAGACCTTTTTTTTAGAGACACAGTAACAAGGAGTTTTCTGTTTGGAATTTTGGCCACCCTCGTGTGTTGCAGGTACCGTCCCCACACAAGCCAGACAAGTGTGCAGACCCCGGGACCGCAGGCCCGCCCGGCCCAGGCCCGCCCGGGTCCCTCCTGAGCTGCTGGGAGGCTCTTCTCCACAGAAGACGCTCGATTCCGGGCCGGGCCCCTTCTCTTTGTCCGAGTCGGGCTGGGTCTCCGGTTCATTTTCTTGTGGTGAGCCCGGGAACCCAAGGAAAACTAGTCATGGTGACGTCCTTGAACCCCAGAGGGACTTTGGCAGGGAGGCCTGGGATATAGAAAGCACAGCAATGATGATGAAGAAGAAAAAGAAGAAACCGAAGCAAAAGAGATACTCTCAGCCCCGGGCTGGGGGGCCTTGGGGTGACGACAGTGCAAAAGAGCCTAAAGGCCGTCCCTTTGCAGCCGACCCACAAAAACCAGATGTTCTCCCCAGCCCGTCCACCGCTGCGGGCACGGAATATGGACCGGCAGCAGGAGAAGACCTCAGAAAGGACCGTGACATTGACTCGAAAACAGCCAAGCCGGTAGCCGAGAGCTGTGTCGCAGAAAGCCTCGGTGTTCCTTCGTGTCCTTTGGAAGAACCGATAAAGTCTCAGCCCACGCTGAGAGTAGAGGCGGAGGTCAAAGGCAGCAAGGCAGGACCTCAGAGCCGAGATGGGAAGTCGCTGCAGCAAGGCGAAGGCTCTCCTGAGCATCAAATGCAGACCCTCGGCTCGCTCGGACTGCAGGCGCCCCCGACGGAAGTCTCTGCACACAAAGGAGAAATTCCTTCGGAGGCCAGACCCAGAGAGGGTTGCTCTCCTGTCTTGGACCAAGAGGCCGTGGGGACGATTTCAAAACCCACGGCAGCCAAAGAGCTGCCTAATTCGATACCCACTTTGACAGCAAGTAGTCCATTAGGAAGGAGTCTGACAGAAGGGAACGATGCAAGGAAAGCGACTGACCTGCAGAATGACAGACAGAAACGGTCCTCCGAAGGGGCCGAGCAGGTTGAAGAACTGCACAAGGAAGCTCTGCCCCAGCAAAGACGGGGGACGAGCGTCTTAGCTTCTGAGCAGCCGCAGGACGGGGCGGTGGTTCAGGTTCCTGGGCCGGGGAGCGAACCATTTAAGAGGATGGCAGGTGATGGCAAAAGCAGGAAGGGAAGGGGGAGTTCCGGGAAAGCGAGAGCAGGTTCCGGGAAGGGAAGAGCAAGGGCTGAGACGCCCTTCCTTCCACACGGCCAGGAGGACGGCGGAGCTGTTCTGGTCCCGAGTGAGCCAGACCCTCAAACTGAAAGAACTCCTGCCGCGGAAAAGAGGGAGGAGCATCCAGGGATCATGGCTGATCCCCCTGAGTCGGGGGTGACGGGGACACCTAAGGAGACCGCTGACCCTAGCAGGGCAGGCACCTTGCAGGCATCGGTTCCTTTGGGAAATGGGGCAGGCGTGACTCAGACGTCTGGGGCTCGAACAGATAGAGGAGCTATAGCCACACATCCAGGTGTCGGTAACCAGGGCAAGGAAGGAAAGTGTCCTTGGATGGATCGTGAGGCAGCTCCCTGGTTTTCTGAAAGGCCTAAAAAAAGAAACAATGAAGGCAAAGCCAAAAAGTTTAAAAATAGTTATTCCTCACATCCCGCTAGAATGGAGAGCAAGGAGGAACTCCTCAGCCCAGCTTTTGTAGAGAAAGAAGGAGAGGCTGGTAGTGCTCCCCTTCAGAACAAGGACCTGGGACTCACTTTTCCTATGGATCATGAGCCTTTGTCCTCACATACATCAGATACATCCACAGCGGAAGCAGTTGACCGAAAGGGTGGAAACGTTGAGGTTAATTCTTTTGAGCTTGGGGTTCTTGGTGGGAACAAAACACACACACTCAAGGATTCTGCTGTTACCGAAGCAGCTACCAAGGTGACAGATGTGAGCCGCCAAGACCTAACCCAGGGGGCAGGATTTGCTCCTGCAGTACTGCCTGAGGAGCATGAGACAGCCTCAGCCAAGGGGCACGCCGCAGCGGCTGACAAACCAAATAAAAGGAATAATGGTGAAAAAAGTAAAAAGGCTAAAAATAGTTTTCCCGAGAAGCACATTCTAGAGAATAAGACAGATGCAACAAAAGCGCATGTTCCCATAGAAGCCACAGGGGTTCACAGCATTGAAGGAATGGGCTTTGTGGACGAAAATAGAAATATTACATTTACCTGCCCCAGGATACAGCCAGGGGTGATAAATAAGACAGTCCCTGTAGAGGCTCTGGACTCAGCAGCCTGTGAAAAACTGCCCACTCCTGCTTTTCAAGTAGCAAAGGAAGGTGATTCCTTTCCAGACACCTTGGCAGAAAGTAGGCAAGAGACAGCTCCGGCCCATACTTCCGAATTATTAGCGGTAGATAATGGCAGCAAAGATGGAGTCCCAGATCGAGAAAGCCCCAAGGCTCCCTCTGCTGTGACGCCTTCTGCAGTCCCAGGAGGAGGCGCCCTGCCTTCTACAGCATGCGCGGAAACGCGTAGGGGTCCTGGAGATAAGGGTCTTGAGAACGAAGGTGAGCTTGCTGATCCCATGATAAGTGAAGCAGGGACAGGTGGAGGAGGTGTGACAGGCGCATCTGAGTCAGCGCCCAGTGGTGCATCTGAGCATTCGACAGAGGAAGTCACAGAACTAGCGAAGGGGCGCTTTTCTGGAGTGCCGGCGGACGGCCAGAGCCGCCCAGGTGACGTCAGAGGCCTAGAAGCATGTGCAGATAGGAGTAATTTCCCAACGTACCCAGTTAACAAAAAGAAAGAACGTGAGAAAGGTTCTGCTCCAGTTCAGATTCCTGACGTACTAGGAGACAAAGCACAAGGACCCCATTCCCGTGAAGACCAAAACGCTGAGGATAGAGAGGCCAGGGGCCCCCCGAGTTTGAATAAGGAAGTGGATGTGACTCCTTTGCCTCCAGAGAGTGAAAAGTGTACATTAGAAGTAATCAGCCTGGCTTCCAAAGTCACAGAACTGGAAGATGTCTCCGTGCCAACACCGGAGCTCCAGTCAGA